CAAATGTGGGTCGCATAGTAGCATAATTAGCTTGGCACAGTTTCAATTTACAGAGTCATATCGGCAGGTGGCTATGTGCATTTTGAAGAGTGAAAATTGCTAGTATCTTAAGGGAGGAAAAGGGGGATGATCAATGATGATTTGTTAAAATGCAGTTTCGCTCTGTTGTGGTCGCCCCTTGGATTATATTTTACGGGTCAGGCCTTGGTCAACTTGTCTATCTGGAATTCAGGTGCTTAGTTTGGCTTGCTAAGAGTTGGGGAAAATTGAGGGTGGTTGATTTAGTGCTGAATTAAAACTTTTTATTATTCCAAAAGAAAATTCTCGTCCTTCCTCTGGAATGTGCTTTGCTGATCTGCTAAATCTCCTGACATTACTTTGGCTAATATGTGTGATTTGTTGCTCTCTTCTCTAAAAACAGGCATAAATGCTCAGCTTGCTATAAGCAATATAACAAAAAAGAGCATCTTGTGGAGCACATGAAGGTCTCATACCACTCGGTGCACCAACCTAAATGTGGAGTATGTATAAGAAACACTGCAGATAATTTGAATCTCTCAGGGAGCATTCAAAAGGTGAGTGAGTGACAGGAAATCTTAAAATTAGTTTCCCTTAAATTCCGTTAAGTTGGTTTTTTAGCATTTCTTTGACCAACACTTCAGGTTTGTTGGCAAAAGACAATTGCAGTAGAATCTTTCATGAACTGGGATGTGGTCTTTGCATGAAAATATTTGACAGCTGCATTTTGTTAAGTGAGCATAAATGGACTTGTCATCTACCTCCACCTACTCGCCTTGTAAGTCAATCTTTGATTACAAGTTCTTTATTAACAATTTCCATTGTATAAGTTTTGTGTAATGCATTTCTGTAATATACAAGTTTGGTCAATGACTTCAGGGTACAATATCATTGCCTTCTATGGAACTGAAAAACTCGATTTCTGACAGAAGCAATGGTGTCCCGAAGATTCATGAAGCAGTTGCGATGGACTGTGACATGGTTGGAGGTGGTAGTGATGGAACTCTTAATTTATGTGGTAGGGTTTGCCTTATTGATGAGAACGAGGATATAATATTTCATGCTTATGTAAAACCTCAAATGCCTGTTACTGATTACAGCTAGACTCTTACCTCAGGTTTGATCATGTTTGTACATATTTTTTTGACCGGACTATTCCTTGCAAAATGCTGCAGATCTGATTTGACTGGCTTAAGTGAAGAACATCTAAGAGATGCAATGCCTTTGAAAGAAGTGCAGGAAAAGATTCTGGAAATCCTATATAATGGTGAGTCCATGGGAATAGTGAGAGTTGATGGTGGAAAGGCCAAGCTTCTTGTGGGTCACTCTCTGGAGCATGATTTGGATTGTTTGAATATGACTTATCCAGACCACCTGATCAGGTAGCTCTGTTTTCTCTGAAATGTTATACTTGTGTGCTGGTGATCACTTAATAAAACATTATACTTGCTTAATGATGCTGTCACTTCTGGAGTTCTTTAATTATTGTTGACTAATACCTGCGGGGGTGGCCTTAGCCTCTTAGGAATTATGTTTTTCTATTTAAATCTACAATAACTTGGAAATGTAAGTTTTTTTGTCAGTCTCAAATTACATTTGCATCCTATATGGCAACTCATGAGGTACCTTCACATTATAAAAATTGCCTCAAGTGCACCTTACAAGACACTGATTATTATGACTGGAGTTCTGTTGGGTCAGATGTATGAATTAATACCCCCTCAATTTTAATAAGAGTGGTTTCTTGTAATTCATGACGGACTGCAAAAAATTGCATATTACAATGCTATGAAGCCCATGATTGCTCTCTACCAAATAGGGGAAGTATGATTATTATATTTGTGCCATTGTCTTGCTGCTTTTCACCTTAAGTGGTTCATTTACCTGTGTAATTGTGTAAATGAATGAACCCTAGAAAACTCGATTGCAAGCTTTCTCTCCAACTTGGAAAGTTGAAAGTTAGACTCTGATTGTTATATGCCATAATCAGCTGTTAAGTACTGCTGTTTTGGCCTTTAGCCTTTTCCATATCTCTGTCCTCAATGGATGCAATTACGGGTTGATGAATATAGGGATATTAAGACTTAAATATTGTGAGAAAATACATTTTCTTTGATATGGGGAATTGGAACACCTTTTAAGGCCCTAGAGTTTGTCAAGTAGCACCTTAATTCTCTACTTTTCGGCATAATAGTCAACTTTCCGGCAAGTTGACCTTTCCTTTTTTTTTTTTTTTTTTTTTTTTTTTTTGGTGGCTGATCTCCTTCCCTTGCCTTAGTTCTTCGTAAACATATCATATTTTCCATATCCCCTCTGCCCAATGGCTGGAGAAAATAGTGCAACCTTTCCAATTTCCATGGTTTCAATATCAAATTATCCTGTAGTCACCAGTAATGAGTAATCTTCATAAAAGTTTCTTTTCATATATTGATGGAAGTTTGACTGAAAATGTGCACATCTGATATGGAGTTCGGTGATTTTAGCATTATCTTTCCTTTTGGTAGTTTAGATGTGGTCTAACTTCGTATGTGGGTGCTTTCTGAATTCTCTTTGAAAGGTCTTATTTGCTCCATCTACCTTAAAAACCAGGTCTTCAGTGGGCTTAAGTCTATTTGAGGTCCTATTCTGAAAATTTCCGCAATAATTCATAGTTCACATACTTCACAACAAATTTTATGTCCTACATTTTCTCTATAGCTTCCTTCATTTCCTCGTAGTTGACGACAGCTACAGAAATGAGAGGAATATCACTGTTCCATGCTTTTAGGTTTTTTGTCATCAGAAAAACATGTTCTCAATCTCCGGTATCAGCTCATGCTTCAAGGCCCAAGATGAGGCTGATATATATACAATTCCATGTGTCATGCCTGTCATAAATAAATTTGTAGATTGATGGTAGAGGGTTGTGAAATGTGATGCATCTGAAATCAAGTAAACTAATAGAGCAATGAAAATGTAATGTTTCACGAGTGTGGTCATTGCTTTTTCTAGATCTTGCATTTGATTCTTATTGCGGTGTACTGCTATGGTGTGAGGCTCTCTTATGAAAAACCCATCTTTTTTCTTCCTGGTTTTTTCATTGAATAGGCAGCTCACAGCACAATGTGCTTTCAAATAGATACAGATTCTGAATTTAGGTTTATAATTCTTATTTTAAATTCCTCCTGCCTGGTTTTGAAATTTGAAAGGCTTTTCTGATTTCATAATATTGCAGGGATACTGCCAAATATCATCCGCTGATGAAAACAAATTTGGTCAGCCACTCACTCAAATATCTGACAAAAATGTACCTTGGGTATGTCTACCTCACTTGTGTGTGCCTCGTAACTATCACTGCCCATATATGTAATGTTGAATCTGTTGATTGCATGGTTTATTTTATCTTTTACTCTTTTGGTTTGTCTGTTTGAGGTGTGTCAGAGAGAGAGGGTCGAGTAAACCTTTAAAAAAGAATTGGCAGACTTTAACCATTCTTTGAATTAGTTCTGAATTTGATTCTTCACTGTGTAAATGCAGCTATGATATTCAGATGGGAATACACGATCCGTACGAAGGCTGTGTCTCTGTAATGAGGCTGTACAAGAGAATGCGTGACCAAGATCATCTCAAAGATTTCGTGGGATCATGCTTACCCAGTCAGGTTACTGAATTTATTACCAATGAGTTTGATTGTTGCAAAATGAAAGATCTTGAGAAGCTGACACCTGATGAACTATTCGAGATGTCAAGGTCAAAGTATCGTTGTTGGTGTTTGGACACAGTCCCGGATGTACAGCTATAAATAAGTCCCTAGTTGATGCCGCTCAACTTGAGAGCACAGCAAAGAGTCTGAAGAGTTGAACAGTTGTGAATAGTGAATACTAGTGAAAGGTTTTGTTACCGTGGTCTGTTCATAGTATCGGTTGAAACTTGAAACCATAGGGTTCGGCTTATCCATTATCAAATTAGAGGAATTAACCCCCTTTTGGAATTAAGTCTTTGGTACAGTCAGAAATAGAATCATCTGAGTTCCAGGGTATGTAATTTTGGGAGCACAAACTCTGTATTTTCGCTCCTAAAACCCGAACAATGTGGATCACTGGATGTAGTTAAACTCCAGGGAAGTTATTTTGACTTCGGTTTTCTGGCCATCCGGTCACCGTACCTCTATTACCCTATATGAGAGAATGGCCTTTAAACAGAATTATCTATGAATTTTTTTTATGTTCCACAGTTTTGTAGATGACCATAACCGTGTTAAAATTTCACTCACAGATGTTTCAGTGCTATTTCAAGTTTTTTGTGCTTTGTTGCTTAAAGTAAAGTCTCAGAAGTTTAATGCCAAAAGAACTCCAACAATATACACATACCCTCACACACTAGTTACTAGTACGAAGTATGTGACTTATTCCTTGTTCTCGTAATATTTAGGCCTTGTTCAGTTCAACTTATTTTTTCTTATTTCAGAAAAAAAATAATTTCTGATAAGCTCATTATCAATCTATAATAATGCAAAACCATCTAATCGAATATATCTAATTTTTAACTATGATGAATAGGGTAAAATATATTACTTCTATATAAGATTTACTTTTTAAATGTTATACTAAAATAATTATAATGGTACAATTAATATGATATACAAAATTTAATACTTTTTATTAAAAAAATTTTAACTTAATATATTAAGATTAAACTTTTTGGAACTTATTAGACCTGATTGAATTTATGGGAGCTTATTGCCTTATTAGAACTAATTAGGCCTTATTGAACTTATTGAAACTCATAGACCCAGATCAAACTCTTAGAGCTTATTGAACTTGTTGAAACTCATAAACCAGATTAAACTCTTAGAGGTTTATTAAAACTTAAATTAAACTTATTAAACCTGAAACTCACAGTTTTATGTAAGGTGAAGAGAACACACCCTAATATTTGTTTTCATAGTATTGGCAAAAAAAGTTTGTCAAAGTGATAAAATGCATGAATATGTAGTAATAAAAAAAAGGTCACAATGAGTAATTTGGAATAGATGAAGTATAAAAACTAATATATTAAGGTTATCTATAAATTTATTAATATTGGTAATTTGGAACGGGTGAAGTTGCTATATACTTCGTATTAGTTTGATACTATATAAAGAGGTTTTAAATCATTATAAACCCCGACCAGCCTCATTAAGAATCCATAATTGAGTGATCATATAAAGACCCGACCCAATTATTTATTGGACAGATTTGACCCATATATAACTGTGGTAGGTTAAGGCTTTTATTAATTGCTCTGAAAATAAGGGAAAAAGAAAACATATGAACATAGCCCTGCCTAGTGCCTCCTCCTCTCTCTGAGTTCTCCATTGAAGCGCACTCAGCCTCGAAAGAATATGAAGCTAAAGAAAATTCCTGGGTATATTCTGTTTTGCCAATTATGAACACACATATTTTCTATGTAAGATAGACCTTTTTTTTTATTATGTACATGATTTTGTGTGGTATTATTGGTAGAATTAACAGAAAGCTTGAAGCGACTGATGATTATGATGATGATGTCATGGCTTTGGAGGGTGCTACTCGTAAGTCGTAACAGTAGGCGTGCCTTTACTCCTAGTAAACTCTCCCTGATTGTTCCTGTCAATGGAAACAGGGCTCAAGTTACATCGTTAACTTTTTGACAACTTAAATAGCATGATTTGGCAGTTCTGGTGGCCATTGGGTTCTGATCATTCCCTGTCAGATGTTTGAGAATAGTGGAACTTGGCCGATTGTTCTGTGTACCCCCCAGGTTTAGAAAAATGCACCACATGTATCCCTGAGATTTGTAAAAAAAAAAATATGCACCGAATACCCCTAGACTCATAACAAATGTTAATTTTGTTAGATTGAGATCCCCTAAGCATCAAATTCTATTAAATTATTATATTGTAATGCTAAAACATTTAAATTATCAAGTAAACTTAAGTAAAAGCGAGTCGGTGTGTGGGCATGATTTTAGTTTGATAAGTCAATGATATGTGCATTTGATAGATGATGAGGATATTTAGTGCTTATTTTTTACAAATGGTGCATTTGAAAGTTTTCAGGGGTATACGGGGCAATTTCCCTAAATTTTTTTTTTTGTGTCTTGATGTTAATTGAAGTTATTAAGCGACTGCTCGTGGAAATTTTGATTAGTTGAGAAGAGGTCCTGATTGTTGATCATGATTTTTTATTGCCACCTTCCAGCTATAGCCTGTAGGATGAGGGATGTATCCTTGCCTATATTGAGTGATGCAGAGACCAGGAGATTATGGGAATGGTCAAACTACAAGTCTGTAATTATGATTTTTTGAGTAAAATTCTTTTATATGCTGAACTTGAGGTGGTGGGAGTCTTGGGACTATGTGACTTATTTCTGGACAGGAGTATGTAGTCAACTTGTACTAATTAATAAGCTCATTGGCTCAATACTATTTACTGTCATACTTGATACCTTTGCTTTTGATCACGAGGAAACAGGTACATCGTTAACTTTTTCAATAATCCCTGTGTCAATATGTCGATTGCAATGTGTTGAAATTTATAGCAGCATTCATGGTTAGTTATCAGTATAATCTGACTGCTTTTGACTGTTGATGAAAAACATTCACTATTAAGTGTTATTTTCTTGCAACTTTTGAAAGGGTGTATCTGGTGACGATAACTTGCCTGAAAGAGATGATCTAGGAGAAAGGAGATGGAACCACCAACTTCGGGTTCTGGCTAGAGCCGGAATCAAGTCAAAAGATAGTGATGTTGTTGCACTTGATAATGAGTCAGAGTTTGGGTGGCATAACTGGCAATGGAGATGATGCTGGAGATAGTGATGAATCAGAAGACTTCTACAATTTAGTTAAAAAACAAAAAGAAGCCAAGTGTAAATTGAAGGCAGAGAAGTATTCCAGGTGAGTTACTGAACTACTTTCACATCATGTACTTTTCTAATTGGCATCATGGCATGTTTCACACAATAATTCGTCTTTCAGAATCCCACAAATCAATATGAACTAGAGATCACTGCTGATGGAAAACGTCACATTTCCGCGCAGGTAAACTACAAAGCTCACTCTCTCCTGTAAAGAGTATAGCAAATTGCATAAGTTCCTATGGGTTGTCTTAATATTTATTTTATTTATATATTTGTTAGATGGAGATAAATAGAGGGCTTACTTGTGATCGAAAGCAGATAAAAAATCCACGGAATAATTACAAGGTACTTGATTAGAACTATTGTTTTGTTCATCATGTTAACTATGTTAAGCTCATCTGTGATTGCTTGATTTCCTTTCTCTGATGTGCTCTTTTTAAATGTATGCAGCGGCAGCATGAAAAAGCGGTTAATAGCCGCAAGGGGCAGGTGCATGAAGTTAAGCGATCGAAGCTTAGTTATGAAGGGGAACTTACTGGCATCAATCCTAGCATCAGTCGATGCAGGAGGCTGGGATGAAGTTCTGTTATTCGTCTGGGTGATGGTTAAGTCTAATGTGTTTGGAATTGGGTAGGGTGGAAGAGTCTTACTACCAGAGTTAGAGAGTAGAGTTTTTTTTTTTTCAAAGAAAATTTTGAATTATTTGTGTTGCAGCTTCTGTCTGATTGAAACAAATCATTTACTGTATGAAACAATCCATTTTTGTTCACTTTGAAGATGTCATATATAATTTCAAAAATGTATCAAAATCTCTGCTATTGAGGGGCCTAGGTGGAGGGTCGGCAATGGTTCAAATATTAAGGTTGGGAACGATAAGTGGCTGCCAGGAAATGCAATCCCATTGCCTCATTTTAATGCCGTTTATAACCCAAATCTTACTGTTGCAGAGCTAATTGAGCAGAACAGTGGGGTGTGGAATGTGAGTGTTATCAGAGAATGCTTTCAACCTGCTATATGCCAGACTATCTTACAACTGCCGTTGTCTTTGAGCTTACCTTCTGATGAGATGTTTTGGTGGCCAACAAAGAATGGGATATATACTGTAAACTTGTAAAGCCAGGTTATTGGCTAGGAGTGTTGGGGCAACACCAGGTAGAAAGCGTTGAGAATGCTGATCTTTGGATTGGGGGTGGAGTCTATTAATCATGTCCTATTCGAATGTGATGCTGCTAGAAGGGTGTGGGCCAATAGTGAGTATGGTGACACAATTGCTGCATTCCCGTCTGGTTCTTTCACCTTAAAACTCCTTTGGTTTGCAAGCAAATTGGATGTAAAGGAAGTTAGTAGCATCATGTGTTTGGCTTGGGCTATTTGGTTCTGCCGCAACAAATGTGTCTTTGAGCAAGCTGTACCTGATCCTGTTTTCACAGCCTGTGATTCAAGGAGATGGTGGATGACTACTGCCTCTATGCTAAGCAGGTCTTCTCTACAACGTCAAGGCCAGCTGCTGGACTGATTAAGATTAATGTTGATGCTCACATAATGGAAGGGAGATATGCTAGTCTTGGTGTGGCTGTTCGTGATGAGAATGGTACTTTGGTGATTGCTGCTGTGAAAAGGGTGAACTTTCCCTGGGATGCGCTCACTGCCGAAGCTGCAGCAACCAGGTTTGGTTTACAAATAGCTCGCAGATTTGGATACAGTAAGATCTGGATTGAAGGAGATGCTATTAATGTTATGAAGGCTGCTGATTCACCTCAGGAGGGTCAAGCTCCAATCTTTCTGATATATGATTGATGATATAAGTCGTTATCAAATAGCTTTGATCTGGATTTGTTCTCATGTTAAACGGGGCGGGAATACAGTAGCTCACCTAATTGCTAGGTGGGATACAAGAGGAGATGAATTAATTTGTATGGATTCGTTCCCCCATAGTGTCTTAATTTTGGTGGATTATGATTTGCAATAATAATCCTCGTTTGTTTTTTTTTAAAAAAAAAACCGTGTGCATTAAAATTATGTGAAAAATAAAACAAGACTAATATAAAGAATAATAACACTATTTTTATCTTCAATCAATTTTACCCTGATAAATTTACCCGATCTTACATAGCAAAATAACCAGCGTGGAGTAACTTCGGTTGTTACTCAAATGAGTAACTTGGATTTTTATCAAATCGCACCAAACCGTTTTAATACGGTTTGATTTAGTCCGATTTAACATGTAATACGGGTTGGTTTGATTAGGTAAAATAAGAAATATATTTTTACAATTTGGTTTGAGTTAAACCCCAAATCATACCAAACCGGACCGTGAATACCCATACTTTCAATTTTCTGATAAAAAACATACAAACATACTCCGTAACGAATTAATGATAATAATCGATTCTTGAAAATACAGAATTTGGGTATTTCACAGAAGTTTATTACACTGAAAAAAGACCTCCATTTGACTATTTGAGGTTCTGAAGCCAGCAACTATGGAAGCAAGAGGGCTTCAACTAACAAACTCATTTTTCTCACCCCATCAAATTACACGCTTTGCTACTCCACCCACTTTCATTAATCTCTCTCCTCTTTTTAACCAACAATTTTCTGCTTCTGGTCAGTAATTTACTCCTGCTAATTCTTCTTCTTCTTCTTTTTTTTTTTTTTTTTTTTTAAATTCCCAATTTCTATTGATAATTGTTCTTCTTTTTCCCATATTAAACAGGAATTTTGAGGTCGACTAAGAGCAAAGAGGACCAAGATTTGCAAGAGTTACCCCCAGGTTTATCTCCAGAATTTTATGATGATGTATGTTCTTTTTTAAATTTATTTTTTCATTGATTTTTTATTATTTATACAGTAATTATCTCTATTTGCTTTTGGATTTTAATTTATATGTTTATCTGGGTGCTAATAGTTTGCCTGCTTTTTTTTTTTTTTTCATTTTGCTGAAGATTGGTTTGAATTAGCAAACAAAATTTTGTAAATGGGCAGGATAATCAATCTTTTATCTAACTCAGGAAGGTTTTTTTTTTTTTTTTTTTTTTTTTTGGAATAGAATGGTAAATTTTTCTTTGGTTACTGTGTAAACACTTAATTTGGAGTAAGCATAGGTTCTGCTGGAGGTTGCTCAATAATATTTTAGACATTTATGGATAGTTGGATAGATGAGAATCGACATATTTGTGTTATGTAGACTATCGTAATGTAGTTGTAAGTTTGTAACACGAGTGTGATTGAGAAATTAAAGATGGCAATGCGGAAAAAGTTCTCAGAATTCAGAACCCTGTAATTTTGTGCTCTTAAGTTGCATAAGAACAACTGCAAATATCTTAAATCTATTTCAATATTTTATACGGTGAAAGTCAGCATTGAAATTGTAACAAGAATGTGAAATGTTATGGTTGTAGTACAGTTGTTCTTTTGTGATGTCGTAGCTCTTGAGACAGACATTTATTTCAAATTTTCAGCACTGCTGCACTTGTTTGTGTTGAAATTGTTGTAAACAGATGTATTTTAGATATGCATTTTTTTACTTATCTAATATGGAAATAAAAGGCTAGTTGTGAACAAAGACTGGCTAAGATTGTAATTATTTGATCTTTTTTCTGAATAAGCTGATGTTATCATATTCATATAACAGGATTGGCAGGCAGAACAGCATGAAAAGACCAGAGAACTTCATCGGAAACGCCTAGAAGAGGACTTAGAGGAGGAAAAGAAGGTCCAAGAGTACCGTGAAATTGGTGCACGTCTGAAAGGTTTCCCAGATGAAGATGTTAGGAAAGCAAGAAAATTGGTATCGAGCTTCATTAGGGCTGAAGAAGAAGTAGAACAGGTAACACATCAATTTGATTTCAGAAGCTCTATGTTTCCATGCAGAATTCATCATGAGCCTATCTTTTAGCTTGAATAGAACCAACCTATAGAATCAGTATGTCAAAGTTGTTTGCGACCTGCATGTTATAATGCAGAATCAGAAAGTTACATTTTAAGGAAGGAAGCCTAAACTGAAAGGCATATTCTAGTTAGAGTGGTCGTCGTTATAGACTACCTTCTTCCTTCACAAAATCTAATAGAGTGCATCCTTTTTCGAAAGGTACCCATGATCTTAATAAATCAGTCCAGTATCTTGAGTACATCTTTCATATAGAGAAATAAGATTCTTGAACCACTTATTCTATTACCTAAATCTCAGAAAGCTTTATATAATATCATAGGCAGTCATAGCTAAATTGCCTAAATACCTTTTTGCTCCATTTTCCCACATTGTCTCAACTCTTAATCGAATAGTAGAGAACTTTTATCTTTATAAACCTTATATATTGCTGGATTCTTAGAATTTAGAAACCGTTATGTCTAATGCGCTCCATTGATTAAAGTGGGAAGTTAGTGCTGGAAAGTTGAGTTATGTATCTTAAGCATTGGTTCTAGCTTCTTCATGCCTCCCTACCATCCCCGGTACAATACTGCTCTGTGCCAAACAAAAAAGCTGAAAGCCACTTGTTCTAAGGTCATGTCAACTTTATTTTATTGCTCACAGTTTTATAACCTGCCAAACTGATGAATTGATAGACGTGGCAGGCTGCATCAAAAGCAAAATAGTATCTTCAAATTTTGAGAAACTTGAGTAACGCGTGAACCTGGGTATGCCTTTATTTAGGTGGTCTATTTTGAAAGTATTGTATTGAATTTGAGGTGTTCTAATTGTCACCCTAGACCTTCTCCTACATGGATATGCTAATTTAAAGAAAAGTTGTATCCAATAAAAACTTCTCTGAGAACTTGTGGGGATAACGGGTGAGCTAAAACTGTTTATTTCCACATACCAATTTTTCCGGAGCTGCTTCCGAGAGTTAAACATGTCTTGAGCCTGCAAAATTGAATCACCCTACAGCTGTACTGATCTTAAAGGATCAAAATCTATAGATTTTGAAGCATTTTTAATGTGTTTCTGTTTTGTAGAAAATTGAAGAAGCTGCAGAGAGAGGGGAGCTTGACGAACTTGTTCTAATGGTCATCTGGAATCGACTTGATCTTGCTAGAAGAGATGTATGGATTTTATATGCCTTCTTTCATACTGGAATAGAACTGGTGTTTGTCTGCCTATATTTTTAAGTTCTTGGTTGCTTATATTGGTTATATTAGCGTTCTGTAGTTAAGTCTACTTTATATAGCAACTTGCTTCCGTCCTCTGGTTTCTGTGTTCATGCTATATTCTTTCCAATCACATATTTGACGTATATTTTGCATAATTTTTAGGAAGATGATGTATGTTCATCACAGAAAGGACAATCTAATGGTATAATGAGATTGTTCGTTTCAAAATAACTGCAAGACAGTCAATTCCCACAACACTGCAATCTTGGAGAGGATGTATATTAACTTATTAAGTGTTAATAATTATAAAAAAACAAAAAATCTAATGAAACAATTGCTCAAAAGAAAAAAGAAAAAAAATAGATCAATAACTCAGGAAAGTTATTCAACCATTAATTTTACCTGCACTTCGAAGAAATCAAACACGTGGAGAATCAAATTTCCTGCTGGATTTTTCTGTCAGTCTTGCTTATGTCTTGGCCTCTGTATCTCCTTTGGTTTTTTTTATCTTGCTGAGATCTATTCACATCTTTGTACAGGATGAGAAAGATGCAATCAGAAGTTTGGATCTCCTGTACAGAAGGGTTGAGGTATGTATGCTGTGTCCTTGTTTTATTTGTAAGGAACCCTTGTGATTGATCTAAGACATATAGCAGTCATTTTTGTAATATCTAGATGCAGTTTACAAACACATGGAACTATGGAAGTATTGCAACTTGGTGAAAAAGTGCACTAAATTTTATCATCTAATTGCAGTCTACCCATTTCATGAGTTAGTCAAAGGACTCCAGAGAACAGCTTCTGACTTTGTTGTCAATTTCCTTGTTTGCTTTTAAAGTGAACGTCAACAACAAAACGATATAAAGAAGGCAGACATATTTTAGAATTAGAATTAAGTGTGATATAAGATCATTACCTTACGCATTGCAGTCCATATTTGCTGTTGTTGCTCAAAAGTTAACTCTCTTAAAATTTAGAAATAAATATGCGGAAATGTAGAGCTCACAATGGAAGGGACATCAATATAACATTGACAAGTTGAAACTTAAAGAGTCCTTAGGGGCCTTCAAATGAGTAACTAATCTAGAAGGGCTGAAAAAGTGCAACATAATTTTACTAAAATAAATTATTATTTGTAATATTTATGCTCTTCCCACCCTGTCTTCCTTATTCCACATGGGGGTATCATGAATAAACCAAGCACGATAGTTATTATGTAAATAGGGGCAACCTATCTCACACCTTTTAGTATACATAATCGTTATTTTGAAAAAAGGGAGTATTTCTCATGTGTATTAAATGAGACCCTTTGTCATCCATGCCAAGATTATTTAATTATTGCATGTCTTAATCAAAATTTAGACTGAGATATTGAAACGAGAGGCTTCGGCTGCCATGAGATTGCTCAACGACCTTTTGAATATGCATGATGGGTTTGATGATGAAGGCTGGCTAAAGGAATGCAAGAAGCTTATGATTGAGACATTCCCGCGGGAGGACCCTTTCAGCATAATTGTTCCTGCAGGATTCGACTTAGATAAGGTACAATAATAACTGCAAATTCCCTTCTACCATTTTGTGTGATTACATTGCCCAATTTTTGTTTTTAATTGTTGGGGAGAGGGGGAAGAGAGAGAGAGAGAGGGGGGGGGGTCAAAGCTAGTGAGCATTGGCTGCTCAAGTCAACTGTAGTTGTATTATGCATGAATTCTGATTTCTGGCTGATAGCTTGACCTTTTTTATCTTCCAATTTAGACTATTATGTTTATCTTCTACCTGCTTTCCATTACGTGGCTATAGCCGTTAATCATTCAATTGTTCAATCTTGGCGCACTTAAATTTCCCTAAAACCTCATTGTTGACTTAAGCCTCATCAACCTATGAATGTAGTGCTTAAAATCTTTTGTTCTGTAGTTGACTTAAACCTCATCAACCTATGAATGTAGTGCTTAAAATCTATTGTTTCCATCAAAAAAGAAAACGAATTGATTCAGGTGAAAAAAAAGTTGCAAATTCCATCATTGTTATCAAAGTGAAATTTAGGTCAGATCTACAGTCGATGTATTACTGATT